TCCACGATCCACTCCACAGTCCACTCTCCACCCCACCTCACTCTCTTCTCTACTTTACTGTCCACTCCACACACTCTGCACACCACTCCGTTCCATTCCACTCCATTCCGTTCTGCGATGGCAACCGAGTGGCCTAGTCCCTGCGAATGTCCAAAAGCTAGGACACTTACCAGGATGTCGAGCCCCACTGTCCCCATCCCGAGCACGGCCACGAAGAATGGCCTCTTGCTGCCCCTTGGCACTTTCGACGCGACAAGGACACGAACATCCAAAAGCGATGACCATTACGAGCATGCCGACCCCGGGCGCCCACGCCTGCGACTGTTGGCATGTTTCACACGTGATGGAAACGCGATGCTCCAAAACCAGAGGGGGGGGGCCGTCCCCATGACTGTTGGGAGTTTGCAAGCGCAACAAAGACTCCGCCCTCCAAAAGCGAAGACAGTCGGGAGGATGGCAACCCCATGAACACTTGCAAACGCTTACGGAAAAGGGAGGTTCGATGCAGCCACCAAGCATGATGTTACCCGAGCCATGACCACAGCTACAGAAAGAGTAGGGAAATCTGATTGATGCAATCACCATGCATGTTATTCGCACAATTACCATGCCAAGCAAGTTAACTCTCTAGACTCTAGAAAAGGAGGACAGGGAGGCCAAATGTGACGACCAGGCGTGATGTGTTTGGTACCATGACCAAGCAGGGGCACGCACTGATACGCAAGGAGTACAGAGATTCAATGCAACCACCCAACCCAATGTCACTTGTACCATGACCATGCATCTGTATTGTAGTTAAGGCTACAGGAGCGGTGAGGCCTCAAGAAAGCATGATGTTGATTGTACCAAGACTAGGCAAAGGTATTGAATACGACAGAGGGTGTCCAAGAGGGAGAAGTTCAACGGGGTTTGACGCAATGACCAGCATGGTTTATTTGTGTCATGACATTGCAAGGGTTGGGAACGCTAAATCACTGAAGGGGAGCAGAGAGGTTTTATAACACCACACTACAGAGCAAGTACGGAGGTTTGACGCAACCGCCAAGGCAAATGCCACTCGTACCACGATGGACATGACCGGCCGGGAGAAGGGAGGTTACACATGGTTAGATACCGCGTTATTAGCAGCATGCCAGGGCAGCGAAAACAACAGAAAGAAGGAAGGGAGGTTTGACGCAACGATGACCGCGATCGGCTTTTGCCTGGGGTACTGTTTGGCCAAACGGAAATCATTCTGTACATTCTTCCTTTCCCGGAAAAAGGGCTGTACGTGTACCATGTGTACCATTGCCACGCTTGCGCCATCTCGCCAACACCATAAAACCCACAATTTGCAAATTGATCATGCCCAATCAACGAAAATGATGCGCGCTTTTCCTTAACGATGCTAACAAAAACTTGCTTAGAGGCCTGCACTGCGAGGAATATGCTGGACCCTCCAACCCCGAGAACCTGTCGCGAATGCTTTCGCGCTCCTTTCGCGCGCATTGCTTGTTGTGTTTTCAACAGCACATGAGATGCCGAAGGAGGTTCTCAAGCGGGCCTCCGCAGCAACCCCCGGACTAGCGGTCAAGTCACTGCTGGCATTCCGAAAAGATCACCCAAATGACTTTCCAAGCCTCGACTACCACTTCCTGGGCCGATACTGGGCTATCTGGACCTATCTGGGCTAGTCTGGGAACTGAGACCAGCGCACGTCTCCCGGCCAGGCCTTCAGTGAATTTAGGAAGTCCATGAGCAAGAGCATGACTTCGTTGCTTACTACGTTCTGTGCTATCTAATCTTGGGGCGCAGTCAGAGTGGAATTGCCACCGGTCAGTTGGCTTCTGGGAGAGGCGCCGGAGGAAGCACTGCCGCTATCCCTTGCAACATGTCGCGCACAAATTTCCTGGCACACATAGCAGGCTCGGCTCTGAGCGTCCGCATCAGGCTGGCTAATGGCGATTTATTTCAGCTGCAAGTGCAGCATGGTGCAGCATGACCTGCCTCACAAGGTCTCGCGCGGGGCTTGCGGCAGTAGCCTGACAGCGAAGGCAATGCCATCCTTCTCAGAGGTCTCAGTATCTTGAGCTAACGTTCCGGGCCGGGATTTCCAGCTGCTGCGTTGCCTCGAAAGGGTTCCTGACAGAGTCTTTGCGGTTTTGTGACTATGTTTCTTCGGCTTTCAAATACGTGCTCTTCTTCTTCTATAGGCTATGCAAGGCCCTCAAGCCCTGCAGGGGCGGGCCCCCAAGCCCTTGCAAAGGTCCAACGATCCGGTCGGTGTGAAACTCCGGGCTGGCACCACATCTAGTTCCAATCCGCCTGTCGTGCTGCTTAGGCGTAGGGTCAATATAAATTGTGGTTCCTCAATTTGTTGGTGCAATCTTGGATGCAAGATTTATTCAAAGATTTTTCCCACCTCACCGTTACTCTGGCACCTTCTTATCCTTCTTAAACCTTGCAGCCTCCAATTGCTTTGCACTGCTGGCATGCGCAACAGGCTTTGCTGAACTGCGAACTGCTGAAAAATGAGTGGTTTGCCGCTGTACCAGCATCACACGCCCCAAGCATTGCCCACGATAGTACCAATTCACGGAGCGTGCTGACATGACAAACGACAGTGCGTGCTTCGTGTTCCGGTACTCGCTCCCTTGGGGTAACGACGCAACAACCGCTTGACAACGAACAGTTTGGGGCCCATTCTCCCCGGCACGGCAAATACTGCAGTCTTGTTGTTCTTCTTGCGAGGGGTTTATTTTACTTTTCTGCCCATTGGCTATAGGTGGTCTTCTTCGTCTTCATATCATTTTTCGCGCTGCGCGCGTCCCCGAAGCGGCGCACTGGGGTCACGCCCCGCAGCGCTTCCCTGAACAGCTGTACACCGAGGAAAGACTCACAAGGAAAGTTGGCGAATGAATGACTGACATGACTGACCTAGGGTCTTCTTCTTCTACCCCCCTTGCCCCATATCCTGGTGGTTATTCGCCCCCACATCTTGATTGGTCAAAGAAATGAACATCTGGATACTGAAATGTGACCGAGGAAGATTAGTGAATGCCTGTCTGTCCCTTAGCTTATGCCCCTTCTCGTGGCCCTTTACCATCCGCTGATTCATGTCCGGAGCGGTTCCCACAATCTGCGCAGCATATACAAGTCTACATTCCGACTCCCTTCTGTCTTGGATCACCTGGAGCTTTGCCTCGAGTCGCCAAGGCTGGCTCCCGGTTGCTCCCAAAATCTGGTGCTTGATTGCAGGTGCAGACTCTCCCATCCGTGTCCTGATGTCATACAGCAGACATTAAGCTCCCTTACACGCAAGAACTTAATCAAGTGCTGCCCCCGACAGTCGCGAGGTCAGCCCCATTATATTCGAATAAACTTCCCATCCAATGAATCGAAACCCCCTTCAGCATTGGATCGTTGCGCCTGTACGTATCTGTACATGCTCTTCTGGTACCCCGGAGGACCAAAACAATTCCCTGGCCCTCACTCATCCCGCCAAGACAAACTTTCACTGCACGTGCTTTCTATTGTAATGTCAACAGACTCGCACTGATGCAGCTAAAGCCATGCGTGGCCTTGTACATCGCTCTTCAACTCATCCTGCCCTTCCCCCCCCCCACCAGCAGGCACCACTTCAAAAGAAGCATCGGACAGCCCGGCCGACCAACGCCTTCTCCTTTCTACTCCCGCCACAAGAGACTTCTTCTATGAGGCCCTTCGCGTCATAAACCAAGTTGACTGCAAGTTCACTGCAAGTTGGCCGGAGTAGGTTGACTGTGCTCGCTTGCGCTTTCGCTTGGGCTCGCTTGCTTGCTTAGCTTCATCTGATCAGAGATACGCACACAACTGCAATTCCTGAGCAAGCACAGCAGGCACCACAGCAGAATCTTGCGTTTTCCCATTGCCTAGGGGTGGATGTCGACCTCGGCTCAGCAAGGCTAACAACAGGGCAGCATCCAGCACGCAGAGATCCTAGGGTCTTCGCCCACACGTGGGGTACTCATACGAGGGCGATGAGCTTTTGCCCCACCTTACATGGCACGAGCATGCCTTGGGCCATGCACCGGGCGCTTGATGATGCTTGAAGCTAAGCATGCAACGGTCCCAACACAAGCCCGTCAGATGAGGTTTGGCGGTTCTTCCAATCACCACCTCAGCACCGAAAACATGTGTTAGCACCCGCCATGCAAATTTTCACAGGGTGCGCGGCAGTTCCCGACTCCTGTACACATTGAAGTAGGACCTGCATCAAAACCATCCTAGGAGGCTCGGCTCGTGAAATTCTTGCCAGCCAGGAAGCTGACCACAACCAGCTAAGCGAAGCCCACCAACGTTCCCCATTCAAAGGCCTTGCTGCCTGAGCTAAAAAAAGCTGCCGCACGGCTTGCAACGTCAACTTCGCAGTAGACCTCTGTTCTGCTGCCATGGGGCAGATTCTGCAAGGTGTGAAATGAAGAAATGCGGAAGCACTTTGCCCGCAAGATGCACGCGAATTACAGCTTAAGCCACGTGAGCTGTTGATGGTTATCTTCAAGAATCTAAGCACAAAGCGGAATACATCTGAATGCATATTAGGTTGAGAACAGCTGCATGGGCATGAAGTCTCGCGTTTTAAACGACATGCGAACTATCGCATGCGCGTCTCTGCGAAGCCTGCTCAGGCAACAGACAGGCGCCGGCGTGGCGCGCAGCTGAAAGTCCACGGTGTGGTGCAACTTGCATCGAGGTTCCGTGCAACTTCCAGAATGCGCATGAGACCTGGAAAGATCAAACGAAGAAGACGGCGAACAAGAAGTCAAAGCGACAGGGTTCGAGCGCAAAAGGGCGCAAGGCGTCTTTGGCCCACGCTCCTCGGCCTGCAGAAGCCAACTTTGCTTCAAGCCTCTGCTTAGATGCCGCTCACGGCCTGCTTCGAGAGCCCGCTGTGCTCGTTGCGATCATCCTCAACTTCATTCCCAGACACCGCAAGTTGAGGTTTACAGTTTCGACGTCGCCTCCACGCATCAGGTGCTCAGCTACGCCATATACACCTTGGAGACCGGTTGAGTGCTGAAGACAGGAAGCAGTCACCTTCATCAGTCAGGTTCCCACACACTGTTTGAGACGGCAACATGCATGCTTCAACATGATGATTTGCAATGCGCTACAAGGGCACTCATGGAAACTCAAAGGCCAAATCTCAGACGGCTGCAAGCGAAGCTGTTTCGATCGTAATGTCGGTAAAGCCAGGTCCAAGCTGACGAGCCTCGATGTGAATACTCAAAATGCTGCTATGTCAATGCCAATCAGAGTGCTTACCAATGCATCGAGCTGAGCGAGGCACCAATTGATACCGAGTTTCCAAGTTGGTCACACCCTTCGGAGATTGTGAATGCTTGTCACTCGCAATGACTCGTGAGTTCATCGCCTCTCTCAGAAACTGCTTCATTCTCAACATCCTTGCGGAGAACTGTTCAGGGCAAGGCCTCCGCTGCACAGAAGCAAAAGGAAACGCAGCCATGCAGTTGTGACGAACCATGTCCGAGCTATGCACTCATCCAAGTACAGCTGGACAATGGCACCCAACCACTCCTCCAAACACGATTTCCAGAACGTGCTTCAGTGACCCGTCTCACGTTCAGTATAGATTCTGGCAGAGACAAGCTCTAGGACTTTGGGGGGGCCGGACTTTCCGTGTCACCCATGCTCGGTGATCAACACCCCTACATCCGCAGTGCCCTCTCGAAGCATGTGGGTCCCTAGTTCAAGCCTTTAATCCTGGGTCCGTATATGAGCCACTGTCAATACTAGGCTTGTTAAGGGACCCTTAACAGTGGACATAGGGGTCCCGCTTGTAATTTTGCATAGCCCCTAAAAAAATCCTAATAAGGAACCAATGTCCATGAATTATCTGGGAAATATTGACTGCGGCTCTATAATATACCTGATACATGCCTTACGCCGCTGCCCCAGGATGCTCAGCGTCTCTTCTGTAGCTGCTTTTTGCCAAGTGCATTGGTTTTGAAGCTGCCTTGCTTGCATAGACTGCCTATGTGCATGATACAGAAAGGGCTTCGGAGCCGAGACTCCAAACCCTTACGGCAGGGCCGGCCTGTGCAGCTAGGCCAAGATGATCGCCGGTATGCAGTACTCAACTGCTCATCTAATAGAATTTATTGAGAGCAGTGCGGACGAAAGCTAATACTCCATGCACTGCGGTGGTTGCAGCAACTCTGAACATCCTGCGCTGGCTGCGCAACTGTAAGTTCTTCTCCCGATAAGGTAACGCCTTCGTCAGATCCACCGAATAGTGAATGACCACAGGTCCGGAAAATTATGCATGGTTAGTAGAATATTTGGTTGAAGGACTTATATGAAGGTACGTTTCATTTGGAGAAATTAAGGCAATCACTTTTGCTTTAGAGATTTAGCCCCGTTTCCTTTCCCGTTTTGAAACCAACAAGGTCTCTAATTCCATTTGGGTTCTGTAGGCTATGTCCACGACTGTTCAAAAATGATAACAAAAGGAGGAAAGTGAATTTCAGTTCAATTGCCTTTAGACTCTTGCATTGAACTTCCTGGGCACGATCCAGGAAAGCCCTAAATATCGTTGGGTGGAGGTTTTGCGGGACTTCTTTTGGTTTGTTTAGGACTTTTTGCAGCAGGTGGGTCTGGGGTGAGGGAAGCCCAATATGTGAAAACGCTCTAGGTGAGAACTTAATTTTGAGACAAAATTTCAGAAAGCTCCACGCAAGAACTCCATTTGATGTCAAAATGTGAGGAAACTCAATGCCAAAGCCAAACTTTATGCCGACATTTCAGGGCGCTCCATGCATCGAAATGAAAGAACGCTCTACATGAGAACTCAATTTGCAAGGAGGAGCTTTAAAACCACCAAAATGACAATCATTATACTTGAAGTGATCATAATCATGCCAATGCTCATTCTCATTCATATTCGTGCTTTCTTCCCAACTTCTGCAACCACTAACACTGCTCTTGATTCTTAATTTGAATTCTATGACCATTAGATGAGTGAGTACTACTACTACTCCTCCTACTACTCCTCCTCTCCTGTTCATCCTTACTATGATCATTGGCATCACCTTCCTGAACAGTCTGATTTTCTAATGGCCCCTTCGATCATGCCTACCATCATTGTCTTTTGAAGGTAACCAGAGTAATCGGGGAAAAAAAGTATGTATATTAAAACTGATAGTTGTAATGTTAGTCAGAACACTGACGGTGATACTTTGAACCAACACTGAGAATAAGGCTAACTAAGGGTATAATCGTAGTAACAAGGCATGATTGCAATAACAGTTACAGTAGTGGTAATATCTAGTAGTCGTGGCAATAGCAACACAATATCAAATTCAATTAGTAAAAACAAAAACGGCATTAATAGTCTTTGCGGCAAGAGGAATAGCGATTTTAATGGTAGTACTTGTACCCTACCTTTCCGCTCACTTCACCCGCCCAGCCCCCCCCCCTTTCCCGCGCCCTGCGCACTGCCTGTCCGGCCTGCCACAGCTGGGCCTTGGTTTCTCAGTTTTGGACACCTGAACACATCTAGGGTTTTGGAGGTGTGTTGGGACCTCACGTGAGCACTGTCAAGAAGGAAATTGGGGGTTTGTGATTTGTGGCTACAAATACCAGTGTTGGTACCACTTGCACAGCATGACAAGCATGCGAAAGGCTTTGCTAGCAATACCCAGGCCAAACTCTCAAAACCGTGCATGTTGATGCATTTTGCGTAGTCTTTTGCGGTGTCCTTCCCATATTTCCAGCACCTATTGAGCCTCTCGAATACGTTCAAACATTGCTTCTGACAAATGAAGTACATGTGGGCCAGAACACGGTCGGCCTGTGCAGAAAACCGTGTTCAAGGCTCTGTTTGACGGTGTCTCTTGCATTTCTAACCCTTCCTAGTCCCAATGAAACCAAAATTGGACCCCAATTGTGCTAATGATGCTTGCGTATGGCGCTCGCCCCATACGCGAGCATCATCAGCACAAGTGGGACCCCATTTTGGGTCATTTTCGGTTAAATTAGAGAGAACAAAAACCGTCAAACACTACAAAACCATCCCAAGTGGCAAGAACATCGTTTTTTCATACACTTCTCCCGATCAGGACCAGCAGGAGGGTTGGGGCGGGCTGGTTTTCACATGATGGTCGGGTGGGCAGGGGGGCCGGCGGCCGGGCCGGCACTTGGGGCCAGGCCCAGAACAACAGCAATAGTAATTGTGGTTGCAGCAATGACAAAACAGTTGTATAAACAATTGCTAAGAGTCGGAGATGTCGGAGATTCACAGGGGGGGCACCTGAAGTGCTTGATGTATCGGTCAACCTCCCCCCCTCCCAACCCCATAATGACAGAGTTTCTGAGACGTGTTGTGCAGTTCGTCATGCAATTTGGGTTTAGTCCTACAGTCCGTCATTGGAGAAGCTTGGAGCTACCTCCATCAGTGACCGACTAGAATGATATGTGTGACCTCCTCTGTGTGCTCATGTGGACATCTATGGGCCCGTGGCCTTATTGGTTCACGGGGGCCCCTGAGCTTACTCGGGCTGTGCAGCGTAAAAGGAGACTTGCAGTCAGTTTCATATTGGTAGCGGAGACTGCACAGCACAGTAAGCCCAAGGGGCCCCTGTGAACCAATACGGCCACGGGCCCATAGATGTCCACGTGAGTCAACCTGGCTATGCAAACAAAGGAGTTCACAAAATGAGTTATAGATCTAAAAGGGATGGCAGATGGCATAACAGCGTCAGGGGTCATTAAGTTGGCCGGGATCTTAATTCACCAGGGCTTCCTAGGCTTCCGAGACACATTTCACCCGATGTTTTAAATGCTACCTTGGAAATCCGCCGACCCCGACCTGACAGGGCGAGCGCACAGTGAAGCATAGGCCTCCCACGCGTTCTACTCTTTTCCTTTTGCAAGCCACAGGCCATGTGTGCAGACAGCTTGGATATGCTCTACTACTGCCTCGCACTTACCGGGACACATCAGGCCTCCCACCCGTTCCGATGCATTCCCCTTCTTTCAGTCACCCCAAAACCACTTCAAAATTCACATGTGCCCCAGCAGCGAATCCCAATGGCACGGAATGATTTTTGAAGGATTTTGGGGGCCCTCAGAACCCCCAAAATCTACATCATGAGCACGGGCCGTTTTGAAAACACGGCTGATAAAAATCTAGACGTCCCGTTTCTCGTTTTGCCAGGCTTCTAGGCTGCCTTTGCCCACTGGGCCAGGCCGATGGGGTTCGTGAATCTTGGATGTTGGAACCGAGTTCTATGGTGGGTTTGCCATGGGGATATTGATGGGTGGGGTGATGAGTTGCAGGACTTACGATGGTTTTATGCGGGTTTTATACTGGTTTTATTGGGTTTGCGTGTGGGTTTTCGCAGCCCCCCGCACCCTGCCCACACAGCCATCAAGTGAAAGCCAAGCCCACGCTGATGGTCCTGATTGACGAAATCATGGTCAGCCTGCGCAGAGAACCGTGTGGAATGCCGTTGTTGATGGCTTTTCTTGTGTTTTTGACCCCTCCTGGTCCTAGTAAAGCCAAAACGGGGTCCCAGTTGTGCTGATGATGCTTCTGTACGAGGCAGGCGCGCACCTCGTACAGGAACATCATCAGCACAATTGGGACCCCATTTTAGCTTAACTAGAACCAGGAGGGATTTTGTTTGGGGCTTGATTAGGGTCAAGAAGGCCTTCGACAGGGTGGGGCTGGGTGGGCGACGGGGCGACGGCCAGGCCGGCCCGTGCCGCCAGGCCCTAATTACAAATGCACTTTAAAACAGCCGAATGAGACCTGTGTTTTTCCTGGAGCTTCTGCTTCGTAATAGTTTTTCCAAGGCTTCGCATCCACAAATCTGAATTCAAGAGCCTAGGGCAATCCAACTGAAATTCAAGGCGTCCTCAATTCTGTCCAGTCCTGTTTTGCAATCTTTTTGACTAGTTGTCTATTTCAGGTTGCTGCTCTCCATTTCAAGAAGACTGGGTCCACTCGCTTGTTTGATGTGTCTAGCATGAAATGAGCTATAGTTTACACTCCTAGCATCCCCCTTAATCCCCCTTCAAGGAGTTTAGCTACCCTTCTGAACCCCAAAAAGGCATGAGGTGATGTGCATACAGAAGGCATGTTTCACTCAAGCTGCTTGGCCTTGGTGAGCGGGAGATGTTGCAAGAAGAGCTGCAGGTACAGGCGGTTGCCGAGCCTTAGGATCATGTGCACAAGATTCGTGGATATCACTTCAGTTGCACCTATGCTCCTGGCAGAACAACTTGTCTGTATAAAGCCCTGGGCCAGACCTTCAAACATCCAAAAGAGCAGCGCTTGAAGCCACCATGCTCCATATGGTTGAGTTAAACACCAGGGCTATGGATGTGTTCACATGCCACTCTCATTCCTGGATTTGAGGCCTTGAAGAGTCTCTCACCATGTGAGTGGCGATAGGCACTGACCTTGGAGTTTTCAGACACACGAACCTAATGGGCCGCGGTTTGAAGAACTGAATTCCACCCTGTTAAATTGGAATATGCGCTTTCCCAAACAGCAAGCTGATCAGATCTGCCTGAGTCTGACGTGACTCGAGCATCCTGCAACTTCGTGTGTGGCTATGAAGTCTTGGTGATACTCCGCAAAGACCTTGGCAAGGACGCAACTTTGAGTTGTGTAGGATTGCCAGCCTTGCCCTCATCCCAGCTCTCTGACCTCCACCTCCGAAGGCGTAAGGTTGATGACCACAAAGACATCACCAGCCTCGGAAGCCATGCAATTCCATCACATCCATCACACTGCGCAAGGCTGCTCTAGCAATCTCTGTATGCAGCTCTCACGAGGCTTCCAAGGCATCTACTGGTCCCAGCGACAGCGATGGTAACGCTCGCAACGACTGTTCTGGACCTGGGAAGCTGCCCCGAACCAATGCGAATGGCTTGATTCTGCCTACGGCTCTAGCTTCTTGCGGCGTCCTGCTTCAGAAACCCCATGCCGCCCGTACCTTCCGACATTACTACAGCTATCAGTAAGAGGGGGCAGGGAGCCTTTGCGACATGCACTTGTGCCTCGGATGTGGGCATGCAGTGGCCAGCTGCTGCTGTCCTACAATGCCACTTACGCTATTGTTCAGAACGATAGTGGGGAAAATCACCGTCCTCACCCACTCCAGGAATCTCCTGGAGCAAGCCAAACTGCTTATAGGCTTACAGCCATTTATCAAAACAACTTGAGATTCAATGCAGCAGTGTCCTCAAGAGGCATGCTGAACGCGTTTTCGGCACCGTCCACCTGAACCATCAAGAATACAAAGTGGATGCGTCAATGTGTGCCATGTGCAGATTCGCATGCTTAGGCTCGTGGAGGCTTAGCTAACAGCAGAACTGCCATGATGCCTCCATACAAACGCGGAAAAAAACTGAGCAAAGCACAACTTCAGGCTCCCCCTGGCGAATTGATTGCACCAGTTCCGGCTCTAGGCTGGCAGCTGAACTGTCATGCAAACAACTTGCCAGGGAAGCCCAGCCCTTCTGACGTCCTGTGGCATCTACCTGCAGCAGTGTTCCAAAGTTTGACTGCAAACAGCCCCGCTAGATTCCCACAAGTCAAGGCTCATGCCAAGGCATTCGCTAAAGCTTCTGGACCTTTCGCAGGGCGGGCTGTGCCCTGAAAGCCTTCTTTTCGAAACTGACAATGCATGCAAGGGGTGCCATCAGCTGGAACGGCTGCCCAGTCAAAGCTCTCCTGCATGGAGCACAAGGCACCACAAGGCACATCTTACTCAATGACTGTCCCAGGTGTAGAGTAGAGCCTGATAGGCTGCAGCGGCTGTCTGCTCGTGAAGGGAGGCCGCCAAATGGATTTGAACCGCCTGGCACAGCCAGGGCAAACAGCAAAGCCTTTAGAAAACCAGCCAAGAAGGCTGCCTTGAGCTGCAAACAGATCAATGCGGCAAGCTCGTTGGCCACAAGGTGCCGCTGGTGACGCTTTCCCTTCAGAAAGAGGCGTGCCTTGCTGCGCAGCTCAAGGACAATCAGCAAGAAAAGCTTATGTTCAGGGCATCCCGCACATTCCAAATACATGGAGAGACAGAGAAGGAGCTGCTCCTCCCCAGCCTGCCAGCAGAACACCTCTAAAAACAAACGCTCACATTCTGACAATGATATCCGAGTCACCTCAGAGCAGATGTCGGTCCACTTCCTGCCTGCAAAGAAAACATTTGCAGAAATTGCTCTCTTAAGGCCGCGGCCCATGCGCAGAGCAAGTGTGAGTCAGAGGTCAAGCAAGTACATACTCCCAGACTGCTTACACTCCAGACATATTGAGACATCTTGTGGCTCACGGAAGCTGCATGCGCACATTTAGATTGCCATTTCCGGAAGATGACAAGTGCGACACCACGCCTAGGCGCTGCGCGACTTGACCAGCCTTGCCAGGAGGCGGAGAACTAGAGATGTTTGGATATGCTAGCTCGATCGCTTACCTTTTGCAGTCAGCTTACCAAACCGATCTTGCCATAGGTGCCTTCGACTCCAGTAGTTCTGCTAGCTCTGCTTCCAGGCCAAAGCTGCAGTGCACCTGCAGCCGACAAAAGACTTGAAAGCCCTAGGCGCTCACTTTATCGCCTGGACAAGCATCTCCAGGTCCAAAGGGAAATTTACCTGCAAATACCTGCAGCAGCACTGGGCGCACCCTTCAGGTATGTCGCGGGCTGCCTGCCTGATAAGGGCCACGGCAAGCGCCGAGTGCTGTCCACACTTGGAGGAGTCCTCAAAACGAGGCGTGATAAAGCCTCACTGGATTGCCGGAACCCTACAAGTGCTTGCAAGGCTGAGAAGAGTCCTGCCCTCGTCGCCTACCCTCGACGAGCAGAGTCTGAAGCTCTCCATGCCAAACCTTGCACTTACCAGCCATCTGTCTGCTCGAGCATTAACCTCTTCCCTACTCTGCTTGTCGATGAGGTTGTGGCCAGATGCCCGAAAATGTATTCCTGGCGTGCTTTGCCCCTTCGTGGCTTGCCAGCGTCAAGCGAAGGAAAGTAACATGCCGGCCAGACCATTGCATGGTATTCTGGTATGGCTACTAGCCTCTCAGTTGAGGCTATGCAAAGGCAAAGATCCATACATTAGTATAGCTTAGTCTCAGACAGGCGAACAAGCAAATGAAAGTGTCCCCGAAGCACCTGGTGCTCACTATCAAGCTCAACTCGCTGGTTGCGGAAGAGAATCTCAGTGGCCCTGCATAGAACTCTGTTCTGGCTTGAAGCAGGCGGAGCAACCTCAGCATTTCAGACGAGCTAGGCAATCAAAAGCAAAGCATCTCGCGCCCAAGCGCAAGCTTGCGGAAAGCTTGCTGTAAGATTGCTGCTCGCTGACAGATCGCTCACAGCAGGCCTGTTGGTCACGTGCGAATCTAGCACGCCTGCAGTTGCCTGATCTTGCTAAGGCTGGGTGCAGGATCAGCTGCCTGAACGTAGGAATGGTAGGCCATAACCAAAACCTCTACCTCTGTCTCTGGATCCGGAACCTGGCTTGTGACCTCAGGAAGACCACACTCCTGGATTCAAGGAGACCAAGAGAGCTTGAGGCTCAAACGGGCATGGAACCATCTTTCGATGCTTCGGTTTTCACCAGCTCCCTGGCAGATCATGGCCATCAGGGATGGCCATCGATAGTTAGCACTGACATTCTCAAGGAAGGAGAGGCCCTCTGCGGCTTGCAGACCGCCTTCCTCACAGGCTCCCCCTTGCATTAGACGGGCCTCTACTAACACACACCTAGATGCCCGCTTTTTCAAAAACTCACTTCAGGAGACGTGCCAGTAACGTCATGCAGCTTAAGACTCGGAGGACTTATGGGGCACTCTGAAACTTGGGAGACATTGGACTACAGCGATGGCACTGGACTGCCAAAGAGATCTTACAAACCTTATGAACACTGGCTGCATTGAGACTTGACTGATTGTTGCAAGTTGCGCACACGGCATGATCACGCTGGCCTGAAGCTTGGAATTCTTCTGAGCGCCGCATTGCCCAACAGTTCCTGCATGCTCGCGCTGGGAATAACCACATGTCCCGTCTGGTACGCTTGGGGTGGGGTCCTGCGAAGGGCTCAGCAAAGACACGAACTCATCGAGCTTCTCTTCTGCCCACCGCATCACACCCTGCGACAGCCTGGCCATACAGGGTTTACTGGGCCAAGGATCTGCAACATGTGGCTCCACTCCAAGCGCCCAACATCGACTCAATAAAGGAGTCCACGAGAACCTTCTCAGATCCAGCTCGCACAGAAGCCGAAAGATTATCTTGCCGTCAGCAACTCCCAACAATCACATATAGTCGCCTACATTCGGTGCTAGCCTCAGCCACTGCCCCTGCGTCTAGCGGCCGGGGAAAGCCTGTGATGAGGTTCCTGAGTCTGAGAGTCTCGCACAAGCATCAGCCAGGAACCGCTCATTCACTGCCTGCAGAGCCCGAAGTCCGCACAATACGGCCTCCAGCCGACCGGGAATCAAACTGGATAAGCTTTGCAGAATCTTTGCCTAAAGATCCATCCGAATGAGGAGCAAACTGCGGGCTAAGAAGAAGAGAGAGCAGCTTGGTTGGCTCCACCTTCTCCACCTGCACGCCAAGCACAATTGCTGGCAAAGGGTATCCACACCCAGGTCACACATGCATTCCTGCCATACCATTAATCTGCTTCACACATTCTACTCGTTACCAATGCCCTTGCACAAGCATGTGCCTCTTGATAGTCCATCCCAATGTTTCTAGACACTGAGTAGAATACTCGACCTCGGCAGCAATGGGCAATGGGCAATCATTCTGCATGAAACAACAGCTGCGACTGCAAGCAATCACTCTCTGAGCAAGAGGACATCGGCGGCAGTATAGAGCGATTCTCTCCGAGCAGTGCCTGTGCGCTCCGCTGATGAAGCAAACTTCCTGAAGAACTGGCGAGCGCCGGACGATCCCAATTCGTTGAGTAGTGGCTCTGCATCGCCTTGCCTTTGCACAGGTGCAGACGACAGAATGTTTTCGAGAGAACACTGTGGCCATGGCTCTGCGGCTGTGAGGGCATTGTCGCTAGGCCTGTCAAGCGCGAAAACTGTGATAGGATTACATGCAGTCAAAATGAAGCCGAAGCCGATCAAGAGGACAACACCAGGATTCCAGCTCGAGCGGTGACTGTTCCGATTTCAGACGATGCACAGCCTGTTGAGATCATCGAAGCCATCATGCAGCATAGCACAACCAGAGCTGTTTTCATACGCAGCCCCTGTGGTTGAATCGCGGCAGTGCCTGTTGGTGCTTGCCGCCTTCGCGTGAACTTTGTCAGGCAATGGTTTGCATTGCATGACGTCTCAGTTGCTGAGACAGATGCCAGCAACCGACGACAAAGCCATTGCCAGCTTCTGATCCCAACTTTCAAAACCAAAGCCTGCACGCACTGCACTTTTTGAAAGCTCCTCTCACTGCAACAAATCGAATCAGCGTCGACTTCAGCCTGCTGCCAGCTGATCGGCCAGCATCAGCTCATCGCGATTGATGAGTGAACTGATTCCGGTCTCCAAGAAAGGGATCAACCTCAGCAATGCGTTGGCCCTATACAAGGCCGACCGGCTACTATAGTACTTGTATAGATGTCACGAGCACTTCTCTGCAAAAAACGTAAACTGTAGCAGGGGTAGGGGGTTTAGCACGTTGTTACCATACTTCCACTCGCCAAAATTTGTCATGATTGTTCGGGACGCCATGCTATTGGGCTTGGTCAGCGGCTCGCTGCGAGGCCCTTTCTGCTGTGCATCCAAGACCTGATTTCTTCCCGTGGCTGGATACTACAACAATCTGGCATAAGAAGCGCTGGGACGTCAGCTGAGCCTCCCTGAGCTTCCTTTGTCGAGGGTCCTTACTCAATGATTTTCGGGTCAGCACACAAGACTGACGGCTCTCAGCATGTGGCCGAAGGATGCATTCGCCCTGGTGCTCGTCATAAGCGCACCCTCCATGCCTTGGAAAAGTGGCAGCGCCTTAGCTTTGCAGGCAATTACTCTGAAAAGATTAGACAGCAGAATCTCAGCAAGCTGCAGTTACCTGGTCAGGTATCCGATGCACCAGTGTGCATATCGTCTTGTAGGAGAGGTCCTCATCAAGGCAGCAAGTACCGATGGGGGGTCATTCTGATTTCTGTGAGGGGTGAATCGCTTTTTGGCATACGCACACACAAATGCACTCTCAAGAGGGGTCCGAGCCTATCTGAAACCGCCAGTGCCGCTTGAAAGTCAAGCTTTGTGGGCAGCCATACATACTCCGGCCCACCGAGTCTGGGAGAAAGTCTACGAGACAAACGGTCTGACTAGGTCCTCGCTTTTGGTCCAGAGTGCCTGTGCTACACCTTCCTGCCGCCAAGCCAAACTTGGAGCAGGGAACAGAGCACCTGGGCCACTCCACCACTGACCATCCGACAGCTTGCCTGCCTCTGGTGAGTCAACAAGCCAAACAATGCCCTCCGCAGCCTGGCTCGGCGTCTTCAGACCGAACATACGCGCTTGTTTTGCCAGCTGGATTGGATCCATGTCACGACGTTGCAGTGCTCGCTCGGGAAGCGCGTACCTTACAATCTGCGTTGCAGTTGGGCCAGGATCTGTTGAGTTTGCCGAAGCAAAGCTCCCCTTTGCGTGGAACTGCCTTGAAAGCTCGTCTGCAAATAGAACGTTACAAGCTTTTGATGCTGCATAGGCCTCATGCCTACCATATGCCCGTCGCTCCCAGGCCAAGTCATCCAGGTCCAGCTCCGCATCTAGTGCTGCGGAGGAAGTCACAGTCACAACCCGAGCGTTGTCTGTCAAAGAGCTCTGCAAACCAACGAACAGGGCAAAATGTCCAAGATGATTTGTAGCGAAGTGGAGCTCCTGACCCTGAGGCGTCCTCTCGAGCGGTGCACCATCAATGCCAGCATTGAAGATCAAGGCGTCGAAAGGGCCTTCTGCTCGCAAGGCTGCTAGACAGCTGCCCACTGACCGCAAGTCTGCTAAGTCGCATGGACAGTTCACCACATCGATTTTTGCATCTGACACCAGGTCCACTATATCCTCTCTGGCTTCGCGTGATTTCTCTATCGAACGGCACAGGGGTACAACCTCCCATCCTTTTGTCGCAAGGTCCGTGGCAGTCGCCAAGCCAATACCTGAATTTGCGCCGGTAACGAGAGCACGCTTGCGGGACGCTGCCCGAGACGAGCTGCAACCTACGCTCCCAGCAACCCAGCCGAGAAGCACAGATCCTGCAGACAAAGGATAACGCCGAGAAATGGGAGCTCTGCCAGTTGCAGCGGCGGCGGAAGAATGCCCTTTGTTTCTTGTCGAAGTGCTTCTGCGCGAGATGCAGCATTTATGATCTGCACCAATCAGACGCCATGGCGCTTCCACAAGGATGGGCATATTTAGGTTTGCATGTCTGCATGTTAATCAAGGACCACATGATCCACATGTCAGCTATGTCACATTGTGTTACTTCGGTTGCCTCAACGCTCATTTCCAAAGAAGTCTGCATCGGAGCGACCGTCCCGCATCTCGTGTCTTGTAGCAACATGCATTTGAGTTCAAGATCCAAAGTCAGCAGTCCAGCGGAGACAGCTCCAGATCCGGCGTCAGGTCGGGTGCTGTGCCCGTGAGAATGAGCAGCAGGCTCACTTGCCTTGGCTAGCAAACTCATAGGGCTTGTGCTGCATGCGGGCAATCATCATGTTCAGACTTAGTTGTCTTCGCCTCCTCACCTTAACTCCTCTACTGCTCTTAGTGGTACCAGCCAAACCGAACCTGCTCTCTTGTGTAAATACATGCTGCATCTGGTCAAATGTTTTTTGCCCAGGCTCAGCTGTTCCAGGTGATCTTCTTGCGAGGCTGTGACCTGCTCGAGATCTGAATTTTTGCAGATACACGTTGAAGATTGTTCCTCACTCCCTAGTGCAAGGACGCTTGAGCTTTTCCACATTGAAGATAATGGAAGCATGGTTTAGAGTCGGAGTTGGAGCTTGAGCAGCTCAAACCACTCGAAGCGCCCGCGTGGTGTTTTTACCCTCATGCCAGAGCCAAGGATCCAAACAGTCCACACGCCCTTGTTCCCATGCCCCAGTCAGCAGCATTGTATCGTGCGGCAAATACAGGATGACCTCCAAACCATGTGAAATAGCCTTTTGTCAAGCTCTGCCTGCGCAGGCTGGATTAGCAAGAGCTCTCGGGCAATTGAAAGAAGCACCAGCCTTCAACAGTCAACTGATGTCATTTCCCATAAAGCCCAGACTTCTGCTGAGAGAATGACTGTTCCCGCGCGAAGAGATCTGGCCTTGCAGCAGCATCTAGACTATGCAACAGAATGCAAAAGAATGCAATGCAAAAGAATGCAAAAAGTGTGTGCTAAGAGTTTGAGGTTGCCGCGTACATGCGTAGCTAAGGCTGCCGCTCCAGCTTGGCGGAGATGTCGAGGAAGAAGTTCGCCGATCCTAAGGCTTAAGGGCAGCACCACGTGAGATGACCACGAGTCACAAGTGGATCTCAAGTCATCGGCTGCAAATGGAGCTTCTATGACGCTGGGAGTAAGAGATGCACCCATTGGAGGACTTTGCCGCATGAAGGCGCCAAAGCCTGCATGAAAAAAAATGCCATGCTTGCGCATTCGATGACGCCAACTGAGACTGCTGCATTTGTGCCAAAGCTGAACACGTTCCCCCAAAACATTCCACCACGCTCCCTGGCTGCGGATACATGCAGACAGCAGAAGAGCGTCTTGCGCCCAGTGCAGATGCAGAGCGAGCAACAGGCCTGTCTGAACTCAACGATCATACCTGCTGCCAGCGCAATTAATTGCTGCCAGCATCAAACAGACACATCCAAACAGCCTGTCACTTCCTCGAACACAACAGTGTCTCCAGCCACTCCTGGGTGCACAGCATCTGCGCCACCATGCAACATTACGTGTCACCATACACCTCATGCGCGTCTTGGCTGCTGGCCGCTCTGCCGAGCCCAGTCCCTGGCTTCGGAGAACATTTTCTTTGAGATCAGGAGCTGCCTTGGACTGGCCAGGCTGCGCCAGCATCGCACTTGAGAAGAGATCAGCGAGCCAGCCGATGCTGATCACGAAGCTAGGTCATGGACAAAAGCTCCGTACTGGGCACCCGGAAATCCACGTCCAACCCTGTCCTGGAATGCAAGCACAAGTCTGCAGTAAAAGCTGACGCCTGATGAGTGTTGCCTCCCAAGCTATGAAACAGCCCAGACGCTTGCATGATCGTGTCACATTGTTGGCTATAAGGCTATAGAATACCAGGGCCCCAGCTGCTGGATCAGCCTCACAAGCGGATTGCATCCAGCAGCATACTAGTGAACCTGTATGGTTCAAAGCCAGTAGTGCCTGTATGCACTGAAAAGAAGCGAGAAGCGTGGTGAGAAGCCAGCTTCGTCCAGCCTTATGGTCAAGATGTGCAAAGCCAAAGCCATGCAGGCAAGCCCTGTAGAGTAGCCTCTGTGCTAATTCAGGCATGCGGCACCGACAGAAGCATCATGCGGGACCTTGCAAAGCCATCCAGCAGGTACCTGTGAAAGCAAAGTCCGTCCAATTCCCATAGCAGACGACCTGCTGATTTTCAGCCTGCTTGCAATTGCTGCTCAGGCTCACCACACCATGTCCTCGCTAAGTCGCTCCACATGAGGCCTCTGAGCATGTCAGCAGCACAAGGAAAAGGCTTTCTCACCTGGCAACGTTGACTTCTTGCATCTGGGCCGCGAGAAATCCAAAGCGCACGAGGTTCCCTTGCCGGTGCAGTTTGCGTATTCCCCCAACGCGGGTTCACGAGAACGACATAAGTCTAATCCTTCCTGCCGTTCGGCCAAGTGTTGTTTGGGACAGGGTTTCTTGATGAAGGACGGCGGGGAACTGACAATGCTGCCAATGCAGGCTTCTGAGCCAAACACAGACTCCTGGCGGCGACCAACGAAGCGCCGCAGATGCTCCCGGCAGCTCTTGAATCGGCACTGCCTAGGTCATCTCTAGGTGTCTTGGAGGCACTGGGAGGCTACAATGTATTTCTGCTGCATCCCCTGCTAGGCTCGTTGCACAAAGGCGCGATGGAAGCAGACAAAGTCAATGAGTGGGTTGTCCGGATCGAAGATCTGCGGTGCACGCGACATATCTGCACTGCATCCCTAAACCCAACTCACCAGTCTGGTCTCCATTTACTCATCGATGCTGTTTGCATTGTGCAGATGGTTCCGGCGAGGCAAGCCTGAAGTGCACGAAGTACCAGAGAGAAAGCATGACCTGAGACAAAGCAAGGAAGCATAAGCTCGTCGCTTGCCTGCGGCAGCTTTGCGAGTATGTACGAAAGTTCAAGCCATGCCCAATGGTAGCTGGAACTCATTCCATGGATAGGATTTGATAGGCATCCGGCGCTTTCGACAGAGGTTTGTAATTTGCGCTGCCACCTCAGTTCGAAGGAAATCCCCTTAAACAAATCAGTGCCTCAGGCACGCCTCACCCGGACTTGCTGCTGGTGATGGCAACGGCCCCACAGCCTCGGGCACCTTGTTTAGCTAGCGTACATGGTGGAATCTGCGTGCCGAAATGGTCATGTGCCCCACCGCCTACCTCACCGAAAAGCGCACATGCTAACGAAAGCTACACTTAACTAAACCAGCGCCATGGCAGGATGGCAAGCTTCCAAAGACAAAGAAAGCAGCAGGACAAAAAGCCAAAAGCAAGGCAACACAGAGGGAGAAAACCCGGAGACAGCAAGAACTGTGAGTGCCCCATCTCAAGTCAAAGCAGGCCGAGGAGTTCGTGCAAGGAAGCTCCCTACACTCCTCTCTTGAGACGTTGAACAAGGGAGGGTGCATCAGTGCCAGTAGTGTAGTAGGAAGTCCAATGGGAGATGCACTGCTTGCTGATGGTACCTGGTTTTCTTGAAGTCGCTCCGCATTCACCGTGAGCCACACAGTCATGCCTCAGATTATAGCAGCTTCGAACGTGCAATTTGCAACCACCGATTCAAAAAGATCTGAGCTCCTTACACTGTAGCAAGGTGACATCGCCAAAAGCGGAAGCCACCACTGCAAGCCTGGCCTTTCTGTGCAGCAGGGCATGGCCCAATAGCCCTAAACCCATTGAGGTCCCCGAGAACCGGCTCCTTTCCAAGAAGCCTATGGCATCAGCTGGGACGCTTGGGTCATCCACTTTTGCTCTGCTCCGAGGACCTCTCTCTTCCCTTCTGCCCTGACCTTGCTCCTGTGCTGCAATGGAATTTGCCAGAATCTGCAGGTGGTTCTGCAGCGGCACTTCTGTGAAGTAGCCGCCTACAATATCCAGCACAGTCTCTGCAGGGCACTGCTGCAGGTCACTCTCGTACAGGAACATCACCCAGTCGTTGTTGCGCGCCAGTTCGTGGAGTAAGGTCAGTGATCGTGGCAGGGAGTGCACTCGGCAGAACAAAGCGACAAGATGCCAAGGTAGGTCATAACCCAAAGCCTGGATGGAAGATGCTGTTGGAGCTGAAGGATGTGGATCCAAAGCCCAAGTGGACTCTTCTAACATGCGCAATGCATTCAGCAAATGTGGTGAACTGATCGCAGCCTCGGCCGCTGCACTTGCGGATGCATCTTCTGTGTCAGGGAAGGACATGAACAACTGAATCACACTTGCCGCAGCAGCTCGCTCTCGATCTTCATCTCCGGCCCTCATGTTTTGATGCACAGTGTGCGAATAGATGCGTTTGGCGGCCTCCACATCCACCCGTAACTTCTCAGTCTCCAAACCACACAGCTCCAAGAGGCAGACCGCACTGGAGACGACGCCCTCATTGAGCAGGTTATGCAAAGCGACAGATTTCGCGGCTTTTCGAAGGCGGCGAGCATCCTGGCGCACCAAGCGCTGTCTCTCTGCATCACTCCACCCACCTAAGACCTCTGCAGTCAAGGAGAAAGGAAATCGGAGTTCTTCCCCAGGCCTCAGGACTGCCGCATGCGGACACAAAACCATATGCACTGAGCGAGGTCTTGGCTTTAGGTGCCGCTTGCACTTGGTCATCAGGACATGGTAAGCCATCATAGCCTTGAGCCATATAAGCAGGGAACTAAAGCCCTTCCATTCAGACCTGGGGCCAGAGCTCTTCCTTGAGATAGGAAATAACCTGAAGTTCGCATGGGTTGGAAACTTGGCTTTCGCCCTATCGAGACCGTGAAAACTGGTGCTTGACTGGAAAGCGAGCCAGCCGTGCTTTCCTCGAGATCGTCCGAGAAATGCTCCTCTGCATCCTGTTGGCAGGAAAACCAAGCCATGCTCAATTCCCAAGATTGCAGCACGGCAAGTTGCATTAACTGAGGCAATGTCAGCCAGCTGCGCCAAGTTCAGGACTTGACATTCCTTGCAGCAGGCATGCTACAACATAGGTTTCCTTCTGCGCAGCAGTCTGGTCAGGACAGGCTTAGGCCTCGGCCGCTTCAAAGATGCAGAGACGATCAAGAACTTGCACCTCGACACGTTCTTCATGGCGCGGAATGTGGACCCTCTGCAACATGACAGACTGATTGCACATTGGAACTTTACCAGCCACGTGCAAAAAAATCTGCACGCATCTGCAGGGACATCTTGCCGGTGCTCACCAACAACTCACCGCAAGGAGCGCAAGGTGCGAAAATCTGATCAGTTGAGCTTTGCGTTTGCCTATTAGCGCTATCGCCTCTGCCCCATTAAGGCGGTTTGCTCCTCTCTGCAGCATGGGTTAGCGTTGTGCCATTCTTGCTTGTGAATATCATTCAGGCTGCGGACATCGACGTTGGTTTCTTCCTGCCGGACTGGCCAAGGGATGCGGGCCAAATCACAAATCCCTCAAACATTCAGCAACTCCAGCAGTTGTGAGTTCAGTATAGCAGTGCAGGGCAAAAAAGGTCTTCCAAGCCCTATGCTTACCGGAGCTGTTCGACGGTTCTGCGAGCCACATGCTGCAGCGAGAGCACGAAAGCATCATCCAGAATACAGCTTCAGAACCAGATCAACAACAAGTGTTCCAAGAGCGGCGCTACAGCTAGACAATCGTACCTACAGAACATAGTAACACCTGAACTCATGTCACCATGAGCCCAAATGCCAACCACGACTTTGAAGCGACAGTGGGGTCTGGGAATGCCCAGGAACCCAGGACACAATGAATACCAGCTGCAAAATTAGCAGCCCGCCAGGCTCCCAGCTCACACAAGCCACCAAGCACGACACACTCAACATCCCGGCATGCCAGGAGACATGGGTGGTGTTCCTGCCTCCATTGCAGGTAACAGGCAGGGCTTAGCGGCTTTGGGCTCTGAGATTCAGAGCTTCAATGCTTAGGGCTACTGTTGCTCCATGGTTTGGAGGATTTGGGGATGTTGGACCTGAAGGTGTAGGTTCTGTAAGGTGCCTTGTGTCTTTAACTCCGTCGGCTCTTTTACATCTGGCAACACTGATCCAGAATCCTTCGGCTCTGTTGACGCTCGCCAGGTGTACTGCTGAATGCCACACTCGCTCCCCTTCACCATCCAACACGGTACCCCTTTTTGCTGGCTCGTTTGTGTTGTCCCCCCGCTCATGTTCAGTTGGATGGCTCCTTTCTCTGCTACCTGTTCCCACCTCCTGCAGGACCTCATCAGCGCACTTGTCACAATGTCCCCGGCACAGGCCACGGGATTCCCATCCTCCTCCTAGTGCACCCCACCGGTTTGAGAGTTCAGGTTTCAATGGTGGTTTGGGTGTCAGATTCAGGCTGTTTAGAGTGAAGCGTCTTAGGGCTCTTAGGTTGCATGTGCAAGCTGCAGGATGTTTTGGGTTCCTTGCTTCTAGGGCTTGTACGCCTTCTGGCCTCAACGATTTCTGAGTTTAGGGTGTTGGGGCTTGGAGGTCTCGGTCATTTCGACATTCGGGATATTTAGAGGATCTTCAGTTCGTGACCTTGCAGCTTTTTTCAATCGAGTAGCGTAGAAGAATTTGAGGTCGTGCTTTGGCGTTCAGACAATTTAGGTACTTTGCGTTGAGAACTTCTCGAAGATTCGGGATTCTAGGGTTTGGCGCTCCAACTTTCTTTGGGTGATCGAACTGCAGCGACTCTAGGGTTTAGTTTTTGCTCCCTGAGGTTCAAGGTTCTGCGTATCTGTGGTCTTGAAGGTTCAGGCTCGTACGGGTAATCTCGGCTTCAGGCCTGTCAGCTGTCAGTGCATTGATAGTACGAAGCCGTCCAGTTGATTTATGATGATGTATGCTTGTTGCTCTGCAAGTCCTCAGAAAAAATTGATTTGTTGAAGCTAGCGTTTTGGAAAGCTTCCGTCTGAGCTGCTTGCGACATCGAACGTGGCCACATCGCTCAGCAGAGTGGACAATGATATCTGGGCAGGTTGCTGCTGATGCTTACTGCGTGCAGAAAGATCTTGAACGTTATTGGCTAAGCTACAGGCATCCCCTTTGAAGGTCGCCATTTCTTCAACGGCCATGTGCCTCTTGTGCCTAGCGGGCTGATTGCTGCAGTGCCACACTCTGGGCTGTGAGCGATGAGCCTGTTTCCATTGTTTCCTGCGCAGCCTGCGCAAACAAGTGAAACAAAAAGCCTCGTACGACTCTCACCTGGGCTTGCAGAGTTTTGGGAGCCTGCATCCGTCTCGTGTTGAGGCAGGATGTCCTGCAGCGCTCTAGCTGCCGAACTCACGCCAGTCATGCTTATACACTGTTGTCTCTGTGTTGAATCTTCAGCCATAGATGACAAAGTATTTGGCACCTTGCAGACAACCATGCTAAAACGGAAGCCTCCCTGAATAGTCCTAGAGCACCCGCGATGTCAGACTTTGCAAAATCTCGTCACCACAGCCAGAAGGCGTCCTTTGGCATTGTCCGGCTGTCCGTGCTGCCTGTTTGTCGCTTCAGGGTTTGGCTCTTACACTCCAAGTGCCTCAGGGACCCACCTTGGCATGAGCGAGCCTCAGCTATGGCCTCCACAAGGCTCCTGCCTTAGATGGCACGTCCTCAGGAAACTTCTGGGCAAACGACTGAGTAGCCGGCCGTACTCATTCTTTTCTGCTGAGGTCTCCATGACGTCTTCCTCCCAACACGTTGAAGCTAAGCATCCTGTCTGTCTTCACAAAGACCTTTTGGAAGCTTCCCTACTGTCTCCAACGAAGGCCCTTACAAGCGCTTCTGAAAACACAACAGGAAAGAGTTCGGCTTCAAACCGTACTCTCCCTGCCTCAATGCGCCCTGTGAGAAAGGCCTCCCTCAGCGCTGGATATGCCGCAACCGCCTACCACTCACCAGACCAACCTGACCTGTGGCATCGCAAGCCGCACTCCCTGCCTTCTGAAGTGTTTGCTGGCTAACTGCCCAGGGACAGTCCTTAATTGAGGAGCATGGCACCGCTGAAACATCGCACAAGTTCATGATCGCAAATCTCCTTGTCCAGCTTGAGAAGCTCAAGAGCGCAAGACACTGGCCTGAAAGAACAAAAAGAGTGCAGGACTGGTTTGGTGGGCTGAGTACGGCAAGTTATTGGTTGTTAAGCCAACTGCGCGAACATCAAGGTTGCCAGGAACGCAATGGGCCTGGCTTCTGGTTATCTTGTTGACGTGTCGAGAGACCGGAGCTTAGAACTTTGGACCTTTGGACAATCCGTCGCTAGCAAAGTACTGCGCACCAGCCTGGCATCTGCTAGCGCAGACAGCGGCATGAATGGCACCTGCGTGCAGAACCAACCATCATGCACTGCTCGATTCGGATCTTACATGATCGTACAGGGAGGAAAGGAAGGCAGAAGTGGCAGCCCTTGCATGCAGCTGAACTTTGCTGGCTAGAGGAATGAAGCCATGTAGATGGATCACATCAATATCCTCCGTGAGCTTAGGGAGCATACGCATTGAGTCTTATGATGATGAAACAACAATGGTATGCCAAAATATGCCAAATCATCGGATTTGGGTAACATTCTTGCACACCAAGCTGTGAGACGTGATCTGGGGCTGCAACGCCCTCTGCATCTTCCCTGATGTACGATACGGATGCGGCGTCAAGTGAAGGACAAACCTCAGCACGTGCTACAACTTCTCCGCGCAAGTGCAGCTTTCAGGTTTGCAGAATGTGCGCAAGATGCATATCAGAATCTGAGCTGTTCGCAGAAGCCGCATGATGCAAAGATGCAGCAAAGAGATGAGGATTCCCAAGGCGGCCAACAAGCAGTAGCGGGGCCTCAGATCTACAACTCTCGCACGTAGCATTAACAGACTTCACGAAAGGTCTGAAGGTCCGGCCCAAGTCCTTTGCGACTGTTGAATGTGGAGCTCCTCGGACAGGCAACAAGTTCAGCTGTTTCGAAGGCAGATCTGTGAGATCCTTCAGGGCACTCATGGTGGTTGCCAGGTTGTAGCGTTGAAGGTACAGCCTCAAGCGGTTGTTGCTCCGTCCCCTGCACGCTCAGCAAGACTGAGGCAAAGGCAGCAAAAGCGCAGGCAGGTCCTTACAAACATAGCCATGGGCGTTTGAAAGCCTTGCTGATGCCGAGCCAGGAAAACACCCTGCATGTGTCTCACCGAGCGTCATTGTCGATGCAGTAGTTGATGAAAAAGCAGTGAAAAGGACTCACCGTTCCCACGGGCAGCAAGCGATCCAGTGACAGGGCCCCCTCGTCGCTCTCACAGTTAGGCAGCTTTGATGCCAGCGTGACTTCACTGCCCCTGGATGGATCCAAAGTCACTCCGTCGCCGAAGAGCTTGCCACAAAGAGTTAGGCGGCACAAAAGCGCGTGAAAGTCCTGGGTATCGCCACTGCAAAAAATGCCCCGTCGGCCAAGCTGCTGCAGCAGGACCTCTCGGGCATAAGAAGTGCAGAAACGGAGACCGCGCTGCTCAAGCTTCTCCAAATCCAGGTCCACGCAGCTCTTGCCGTGCTCGTCCACATAGTCACCGACCGAAAAGGGGAGCGATCGAACCCAGGCTGCGAGGCCCCGCCAGTCTTGATGCGCAACCAGGAAATCCAACCAGCAGTGCTGCCAGGCCTTGGCAGGTGGCCCAGCGGCCACGGGTGGCTGGAGCCACTCGAGCGGCTCAACGAGTCGCGGCCAGAAATGCGTCTTCTCCATCACAATCCGTGCACGCGTCTCCCAGCTCCATTGCCGCATCCACGCCAGCGTCACGTGAAGGTAGCCCATGGTGTGGCTCTTGGGACCGTTCTCGTCTAAGCCCAGTGCCTTAGCGAGACCAGATCCAGGCTGCAAAGCAGATCAGATTAGAAGCCCTGCTTAGGTGGTAATTTTTTACTGCTCAACTGTGATGGCACCGGGCCTCCAAGAAACCTTCTGGGTGTGAAGGATCCTGGGCTTGGCTCGTGATGCAAGGCGATGTTGTCCGATGGTAGGAGCTGAGGGACGCACGTCACTGAAGGGAAGGGTGTCATCATCCTTTGGCCTCACTTTCAAGACGCAAAATTCGATCCGATCCAAGCTGGCAAAGCAAAGCACCAAGCCCCTCAAGGCGACATCGACGGCAGCCTGAGAAGTTGACAGAATTTCCGACAGAACTGAGGACGGAAGCTTGCTCCGGCTGTCTTCAAACAGATATCATCCCGAGCTGCACACTGGCCCGAGCCAGCGGCGCTGACTCCAGGCTGTTCAGCATCTCCTGGCTATCGAAGCCGTGGGAGTCTACACAAAAAAAAACGCTGATGGATTGGCTCTGGTCCGAGGGGCCGAGGCCAACAACAGCCAGTCAGGTTTTCAGCACTTCAGTTCAAAAGGAGGAGGGATGATGGAAATAGCCACCAAGCATGATGGATAGCAACCTGCAAGCGTAGCGAACACTACAGGAGCTTCATGCAGCCATGAAAATGCAAATGCAACGGCAGTACACAATACAGTGGTAGGAAGGCTTCCACCAGCATGATGTTACTCGTACCAGTACCACAAACACGGGTAGTGCACACTGGAGCAGGGAGGTTCGACGCAATCGCCAAGCAAGATGAGATTAGTACCACCATGACTACGCAGGGGTAGCCCGAGCACTGGAGAGGGAGTAGGGACGCTTGGTACAACCACCCAGCACGCTGTCAATCATTGTCATTCGTACAATGACCTTGCAAGGGTATGACCACGCAAGGGTAGTCAATGTAGTGAGTGCAGTAAGCGCAAGCAAGTCAACCGACCAAATATGTATATATTGCATATAGATAGATTCTATATGGTAGTCCAGCCAAAACCCCACGCCTCAGGTACCTCTTCTACTCTGAGGTTTGTGCTCATATTTTCTCTCTTTTTTTCCTCTCGGTGAATGGGAGAGGTAGTGATGGGTGGAGGGCGGCGGTGGAACTCTGAGCGTCTTGAACACCCAACCAGAAAACGAAGGATTCATTCAGATTTTGCGGAATCACAGATTCGCCATGCGCAGATTTGCAGATTGCATAGCCCACGTGCTCTCAGATCATCGCCGGTGAAAATCCGCGAAGCTGCGAATTTAGCATTTCACTGTTGTATCATAAAGTCAAGATTTCGTTTCTCTATTTCACATGAACATTCGGAGAGTGTGTGACAACACCAATCACGCTCGCTCACCTGCTGAACATTTGATGCACGGAGAATTTCAAAGCAAAATTGGACAAGGATTTCATAACCGAACAGCAGGAATCCAAGAATCCGGATTTTTTCCACATCAAGAGCCCAGGATCAAGGAATTCTTGTCCAAGTGACTAAAAAGAAACATAACCGGAGAGCAACAAGATTCGAGATTTCTCCTGAGAAAAGACGGATCCAAGGACCTGACCGTTCCTCCAAGATCACAAGACTTTCCTCTACCTTCGACGCCAGTTGAATAGAGTATTCAGATGCAGGAAATCAGAATTCTGTTTCACACAAGAAGCACACTTTGCAAGGGATCCATATAAACAAAAACACGAGTCCAAGATTTGAGAGTTCCTTTTGAAGTTGAAGCACATTCAGTAAGGGATTTATATCCTCAAAAAGAGGAGCCCAGGATTTCATAATAATGTAGTAAGGTATATATACAAAGAATATCGGCACCTATTCAAACGTCTTCCGGCTCTGAAGACCATTTTATACGGAATTCTTCAGTGAACAAACCAGAGCCAAAGATTTTAGAATTCATCTTTGATATTAAACCACATTCTGAGGCATGCAGCAAGGGATGTACAAATAAAATCTGAAACCCAGGATCTGAGCATTAGTGAGGTCTTAGTATCCAGTAGACAAAACAAGAACACCAGAGGCAAAGCATTATCCGGAAAAATTGCAGCCTATTTAATAGAAAAGTTGCGTAGATAACAGAAGGAGATTCTTTTTAGGGTGGAAGCCAATTCAATAGAGGAATTACATGGAGCAAATCCGAAGCGTAGCATCCAAGACATCCTTTTTGAATTGAATGGATAAACAAGAAATAGAGCCCAGGACTTGGGAATTGCTCTTCAATCGCACACTTGGCGAGGGAAACACGCAATGAAAATGCGGATACCAGGATCAGAATTCTCCTGTAGAATCGTAGCCAGTTTAGTCAGGGTTTTCAATTCGTTCAACATCAGAGATTTCTCCTTGAATTGCGAAACCAATAGTCAGGGGCTCAGGGTCTGAGCATTTCGCCTTAAATTTGAAGCACATTGAGTAAGGGTTGTATGTAAACAAAAACAGAGCCCTTGATTTGAGAAGCTGTCTGCGAATTTCAGGCACATTTAGCAAGGGATCTATATTGATAAAATGAATAAATTTGAAGCACAGGTACTAAGGGATCTAAAATAGACAGAAGCAGTCGTCCAGGATCTGAGAACTGCTCTTTAAGTTTGAAAAACATTTTGGGTTTGGTGGTTTCACATAGTGGTTTTAGCACCTTTTGGATTTCCCCAAGCATAACCATTTTTGGTGAGGATTTTCCCGGGAATTCCAACACTTTCCATAGGGTGGCTTGCATCATTCGGTAAAGCCGTAACAGGGACACTGGTAGGGGGTTGATTACTTATCAAACGATTTGACTTCTTTAAGGTGGTTTTTTGGGGTTGCATATATATATATATATGTACATCTCAATGCAAGCTATACCGTCTTTCGTGATTCTGACTGGTGCAGCCAACTCGTGCAGCAGGTGCCGTGTCGCCCTCGTCCGCTTGTTCTCGCATGTCGGCGACATCGTCTCCGTGCACATCCTGTAGCCATCAAGGTTTTCTTTCCGACATTGGAGGCGCGCCTGGCCTGGGCAAGATTTGACCCCTTGTGAAAGTTGGACAAGCCTTAGTCAAGACATTGCTGCATCAGCCATAGTCAACACTGTAGCATTCCACAAGAGAAGTTTGAGAAGCACACCTAGGACAGGTGTCGCATCCAAATCTTCGACCTGAAGCAAGATAGAACAATTCACAAAGCCATCCTGAGAAACTCTCAACCTGGGATCCGAGCGTCACCACACGGCATGCTAGCCCAACCCTTGCGGGCTTCAGGTGGCATCTCAAGCATGGCTGCCATAGCGGGCCTTCAGTCTCACAAACACGAGAAGGCGCGTTATTCCAAACAACATCACTAGGCAGATTTCAGAGGCGCACGTCTGGTAGCCAGACCACATGTCATAGAGTTCCAAGGGCATTCGTTGCGCCATTGGCAACTCCTGCTGTGAAGAAGCGTTTCTTAAGGAAGGCCACACGCGCACGGAATGCCTTCCACTGGAAAGTAAGCTACAGTGCAGAAAGAGTGGATTTAAATACAGACAGAAGAGGCAAAGGCAAAAGACCCTGCACTCCCGCAAGCTTGTCTGCTGCTCGAAGTGTTGTGGTCCACCACTACGATCACCACGCATGTCCACCTTTGAGCAAGCCATTTCATCAAGCCAGCAAATCCCAGCAAGCACACGTGCCAAATGTGCCAAGTCATCCAGGCTGCCCAGTTCTGGACTGGCACTGGCCCCGTCTGTCCAACTTCCCTTCCAGCCTTAGGTGTGAGCAGTACAGTCCTGCGGACGCACAGCTAAATCTGTGCACCCACCTCACCCGAGCACTTGTCTTCAGGCCGGCGAGCCTCATTCAGTGTCACAGCAGTGGCGCATCCCTTTAGAAAACACACACTCAGCTGTTAAGCTGCTCAGCTGCTGGCAATGTGGCCGCCAATGGCACCATCACAGACAAGACCTCAAACGTGCCAAACTCTCGAACACAGACTCCGGGACTCTCCGGTGCGGCCAAGGCAGTCGCCTACCAAAAGCATCGGTTGGCCGCCTGCTGGCCACGAGCAGAAAGGCGGAACAGACCTGAGGAAGTCAAGAAAAGCCTTGCGTCCAAAACCCAGGCCAGCAAAGCGTGAATGCTTCAATGCTTAGGACACGGCTCGCTGTGTGCACGTTGCGGATACTGACCAGTGGTGAGACCAGTCGTCCTTAGTTCATGAAGTCCTCCATGAAAAAAACTTGCATGCTTGCTGTCAGTCCAGGAGGCATTCTGTTGAACTCAGTGGTGTAGCATGGGTTTGTGTACAGCCTCGCAATGACAACGCAATGCCACTGCAAAAGATGACATCAACACAAATCTCGCACCTTTCGAGCAGGTTCACCAGAGATATGAGTGCTTGCTCGTCTTTGGACAGTCTCCGCCTGGGATGACTTTCTAGCCCCATGCATCGAACCACAGCCTTGAGGGCTTCACATGTGTCCCACATGCCGAAGGAGACGTCGCCGGACCAATCGCTTAGAGGTGTGAAATGCAACGGCCTCCAGCTGGCATGGTCATCCGCAAGATGAGGAATAGATGCCGGCAAAACAGGGAAAAGCATCAGGCCGTTTTAAGCCTGTGCTGGAAAGTCTCTGCTGATCTCTGCAACCTGTACACCCACAGAAATTGATTGACATGCACAGTGCGCCCCATGATCCCTCAGAGAGGCCAGGTGTTCGCACTCCTTGTCAAACTCTCCAGCTGTCACTTTACAGAACCGACTCCAGGACCAATGCTATCTTTCGCAGCGGTTTCCTGCGCCGCCAGTATATATGCAACACTCAAGCAATGCTGCGGAAAACCAAAGCCGCTTGGCATTAACATGCAACAGGGGGTCTCAATGCCCGAGAGCCCCCTCTTACGTTGCAGACATGTAGGCCTCAGGCTGATCTACTGAACAATCCCCAGCCTGCAAACGCTCCAGAAACCGTTCAACTGACTGAGCCAGTAAAGACTTTACAATGATCGCGAAAATTCGATTGCAAACAGATGGAGCGCTGCAGCAGGGTCAACGCATCGGTAACTTTGCTGCAACAAGCGCAAGCACTGCATGTGCTGCATACTGGACTAAAAACCAAGATTTTGTGACTCGACTCAGCCACATCAAAGCTATACACTTGCGAGTGGGAGAGATCCTGTGCTGAGTCCTGTTCAGGCAAAGGGATCTTACAGCCAAGCTGCCGCCTGCGTGCAGAGTTTTTGCACTGCAGGCTTCTCGCTTCACTTGGACAAGCTAGAATCATTCACTCAGAATCACAACAGCGGATTGAGCTCTGCTGCTTCTGTCCTTGCATCTCACATGAATTGGAACCGCGAAAATCACAACATGGCAGAACATCAAACCATGTTACCATATCTGATCTGCCGCATCTGCCTCTTAAAAAAACACAAAGATGATTTCGCGCACAGACTGACGTCACTCCAGGAACCACCACAGCAATTCCATTCTACATACCAGGAGCTGCTATTCTAATTACCTGTAGCTTATTGGGCAGGCATCCTGACTATTGTTGGATTGTAACATAGTGAGCTCACTGGCTAAACTTGGGATGTCGAGCTGCTGGAGCAAAGGAAGACGGCAACCAACACCCCGCAACAGCATGTGCACTTGCTCTTGCTTTTCTTTCGCAAGTCCCGGCCCTGATCTAGTCCGTCTGCAGCCCTACGCATAGGCAGTGCCAGGAAGGAGTTCTTTGGAACTGTTGTTTTGGTTCTGCTGCTGATGCAGAAGTTTGCTTGGGGAATCGCTGAATGGTTTTGGGCCGCGTCCTCCTAGTCGTACTAGGGGTAGCAAGAGCAATAGTACCGATAGAAATTGCAAGCGCTGCGGTTGAAGGAGCAGTAGACGAAGCGACAAAAACGTAGTTCACACATGCTTCTTCGCAAAAGGTAGCTTCTCAGAATTCTCTAGCATGCTATCACGCGAGACCATGTGGAGGTCAAAATCCAGAATGCTTGCACCAGAATAACAATGACAAAACTCAAATGTGAGGAGCTCCAAGCATCTCGAGCCCTGTGAGGGATGACCTGTCTAATCAGGGTAAGGGGAAGCCTAGCGAAGCACCTAGCAAGCATGGAGGCTCTAAGATCCACCGCGATGATGATCAAGATGGGCCGGGGAGTCGGGGGGCCACCCTCATCGGAGGCAAAGAAGAAAGCTCCAAACACTGAGCATGATGACCGAAAGAAGCGTTTCTGCATGGTGTGCCAGAACGAACAGTGGCCAAGACGTCCCTTGCCAGAGGGGTTCCGTCAGAGCTAGCGCGAAGAGAAGAGGAGGAAGGAGACTGCCAAGCAACAAGCGGCAGATGATAAGCAGAAGCCGCAAGAGACTCCAGCACGCATCGAAGACGAAAAGCAGCAGTCCAATGAAGCTCCTCGTGCGCAAAGACGCCAGAAAAGTAGGGATTCGGCTCGCTGGGTGCCAGGATGATCTGTGCGAGACTAAGCAACACTAACGAACAGTTCAAATCTGAGGTCAGAATTTTGAAGGAGTGCAACATTCAACGAAAAAAATGTGGAAGGTCGCATTTGAAGTCATGGCAGTCCTTAAACTCCAAGGCTGTCGCGTGCTAGGGATGAAGCACGCGAGACCGCGCAGTTACAGACCATGGGCAAGTCTGGTAGCTGTCGACGATGTGGCGCGCCCAGAAGCGCCTCTAACACTCTGAAAAAACCTTTGAGGAACGTGTGCGGCAGGAGTACAAGTTACGTCATCATGTTGGAAGTGATGCTACTCTTCTAAAATGGGAACGTGGGGGGCTTGGGGGTGCACAGCCTTTCGCATTTGCAAATCATTGAATCCGGCAGTTCAACAGTCATCAGCAAACATGCTGGGTCACTCTGGATGTCACTCGGGCCGGAGCCCACGTCCAACCGAATATGGAAGCAGCTAATCTTAAAGTGAACAGCGGCGCGTTGCTGGCAGATGACAGCAGCTGCAGGTTCGTCAGAAATCAACGAGGTTCATCTTAGCAGTGAAGGCAACATTTGGACACAGTGGGGTTGTTTGGGGGCAGAGTCCCACATTTGCAAAACATTAATGAAGGAATGAAGCATCAGTTGAAATTTCATCAAATGCATCAAACGCATACAAATTCAAAGGGTCGTGCTGGAAGTGACTCCAATCGTCACAGACAAGAGCCCATACATCGGTTCTGGGCTGGGGCTCTTTCTATCGAAATCTCTATGCCTCACATAATGTCGAGAAGCCTCTGAGGATGCCATGCTTTCGACATGTTATCGAAACGTGTTCGTCACATTTTCTCAACCAGTCACGACCTGAAGAGCCCAGCAAGCACCTTCGAACACTTTCAGCTACGAATCAACTCAGCATGAGCATGTTCGGAGACATGAAAGCACCCCGCGCCGGATACATGTCGGAGGGGTGCAAATTCAAGCCTTTTGGCAGGGTACCCCCTCTCCTAGCATGCATCAGTAGGATGTGCCAATCCAAACTTTAGGGCACTGCTGGGCTAGTCTGCCGTTGGGCACTGCAGGCATACTCTGTGGTTCGGCATGGGGTGGCTGCAGTTGGGCACTGTGGCACCGCAGGGGTTCTCTGTAAAATTCGGCGATTGCGCACACCAGGGATACTTGGCGGTAGGAGAGTATCATACTCTGCGGTTGGGCACTGCAGTGAAGGCAGGGCGAACATAGATTCAATTAATCAAGATTCCGAGCTGCAGCCTGATGCACAAAAATGGCAGGGCGGGCAGGGCGCCATTTGTGAAAACTGGTGCCTTGGGCAGTTGCAGCTAGGGGGCTGGTTGGCTGTGCTCTGAAGGCTTCGAAACACAGCCGGAAATTCAACACGCTTTGGCCTTCTTGAAAATTTGGTTTTGCGTCCTGCAACGGATTGGGAGGTCTAATGCCCCCAATCTGCACGGAAACAGCATTGGCTTTGAAGCAACCCTTAAGTGCAG